GACTCTGGGACTTACTGAGAGGTGGTCTATCTGTTGGGAGTAGTCCATGGAGAGCCATATACGCTGCACTTCACCATCAATCTGAGGGATTTCCGAGGGTAGCTTGGATCACCTGCCCTTTTGGGAACCTTTAGAGCTTAATCCCTGTGTGACATGTGGCCCCACAGTGAGGGTGCTGACAATGTGGTGGCTTTCAACTTTCTTTTCTTTGAATGTGGCTTATGTAGGAGCCAAGTATATTTAACAGATAAAGTCTGAGCTCCAAACATATTCAAGCTGAGGATTCAGAAACTTGACAGTGTCCTCTTTAGAGAAACTGATGGCGGTGACAAGCCCAGGAACCCCCAGAAACTGGGACAGAGGCTGGGGACAGAATCTTCCTTGGTGCCTCCAGAAGGAATAAGACCCTGCTGACACAACACCTTGATCTAGGACTTGGAGCCTGTGGAAGTCAGAGACAATAAATTTCTGTTATTTAAGCCGCCCAGACTGTGGTACTTTGTTGTGGCAGCTCTAGGAAATGAATACAGTATTCAGGATTTTAGTTGACACATGGCTTCACTTTAAAAATAATAGTTGTATTAATAAGCATTAGAAAGAATATAACAAATGGCTCAAACCTGTGATTTTTAGGCATGTTACTGCCTAGGACTAGGTAGAGGCGGGATATAATGAGCAAGTAACAGTTTTGTCGGCACAGGAGGAGCTGGGGAATGCAGTAGTTAAGAGCTGAGGACTTGCAGCCAGGCTTTCAAATACTGGCTTCCACACTTACTGTGTGACCTTGGACAGATTCCTTAACCTCTCTGTGCTGTGGTTTCCCCCTGCACACTGGTATTGAAGATAGCAGTGCCTGGATGATTAAGGCAAGATTACCAAACACAGTCTGGGGGCTGGTTGAGGGCTCTGTACGTGCTGGCTCTTCATGTTATGACTCAGATGTGGAAATACATGCAGGAGGGAGGTCTCAGGGAGCCCAGCAGGATGGTAGGGAAGGGAGTTGGACACCATTGTGCCACTCCACTCCACCAGGGGCTCTGGAGGGTTTCCCTTCCCAATGCCACACCACTCTGGGCTTCATTTTGCTCTCTTTTTATTTTTTTAAAGATTCACTCATCTATGCACACAAGTACTGGGGCACAGGCCAGAGGTGCAGGGGGTGAGAGGATCCACTAGAGACAGAGGGGGAACAGAACAGGCAGACCGACCAAAATACACTGCTGAGGGGCGCAGCGGGTGAGCCAGGAGAGGTCCGCTGTGCCACATGGGTAGCTCCCTGGCAGGGGAATTGAACTTGTACTGCAGTAGCTGCAGACAGCCTCAGGCTGTGCCTCAAACCCCCACCCCTACCCCCCTGGTGCCACCAGGGAGGCCCTGGGCTTCATTTCTTTTAACTATTTCTTTTGGAGGAACTTTCTGCAAAGCAATTTTTAATTTATTTTTTACACAGAGTGAAGACACACCAGCAGTGTAAACTGGGGGCTTGTCAAATTGCACTGTGGTCAGAGGGGTCAGCTCAGGGGGGAGATTGTCACCCACAGTTGCCGCTTTGTGTTGGAGCACAAGAGCCGACGTGGCCCAGCTTCACTGTGTCCCGTGGCCCCTCCGCTCTCCTTCTCACTTCCCAGCTCGCCAAGTGACCCAAGCTGATAGGTGTAAAATTCACCAGATTTTTCTGACGCCTTACATAATGACACCTTCTTCTTCACCCCTACCAACCATTTCTGTTTACAAATGTGACACCTCTTTAACCCTATCAGCTGCAGTAATCTTGACATGACCTTGACTCACCCTTGCCTCCCCTAGGCACCATGCAGGCCTCTTCCCAGGCTCTGGCTTTTGCCAAGAGGTCCCCAGGAGCCAGTTTGGTCACAATTCTGCCCTTTAGATTCTGGCTTTTGATGGAGGTGAGATGTCGGCAACTCCCCCACCAGTTTGGACTCCCCCACCAGTTTGCTGCAACCCAGGGAGGCAGGATGCAGATCACAGACCCCTCACCCTCATGTGTGGCTTGCCAGACACAGATCCCCAGCTCTGGGCACTTGGGCTTCATGAACGGCTCTGGCTAGAAGCACAGAGCCAGCTGGCATGCCAGGGGCCCCACAGCACTGCCAAGTCTTTGCTGTCCTGCCCCATCAAGGCCACTCTCCACCATTCAGGTTTCTGTCCCAGGTTGTTCTGGACAAAAAAATCCATAACCACTCCTATGCCTACAAAGTCCGATGACTCTGGAATCCAGCCTCGGGGTAGCGAGCAGAGATGAGGCACCTTCCTCTCCATGCTGAGCAATTGCCTCTCCCTGGACACCCCACATCCCCCTGGCTCTGGACAGGCCATCCTCCGTGCACCAGCCAGAGGAGCCTGATGAAATGTAAACCATATCATGGCAGCCCTTCCCACAAAGCTACAGTCCCTCTTCTGCTCTTACCTGCTCTGCCCTGGCCAGCCTCTGCAGCCTCACTCAGCTGCCCTCCCCTCACTTGCTGTGCTCCAGCCTCCAGCTTCTTTTTCATTCTTGAGCTAACTGAGCAGCTCTTTTTTATCGCAGGGCCTCTGCCAGGCTTTCCCCTCCACAAAGGGCATCAATCAGGTCTCAGCTCAGACACCTCCTCTAACTGGCTGCCCAGCCAGCACCCAGTCACCACCCATCTTTATATCTGTTCATTTACCTGTCAAATATCCCTGCCTATTAAAATATAAACACCATGAAAGCAGGGGTGATGCGCTGCCCTTTGGGTCACCAGGACCGAGACCAGCGCTGGCACACAGTGGGTGCTCAAAAGATAGGTTTCTTGTGAGGCCAAAGAAGACAACACCTGTTGCCTTGCCTGGAACCCCATCTAGGACCAGACTGGACTGGGGTAGAGTGTGCCCTGACCTGCAGCCCCAGGCCCTGCCTCTCCTGCTGGCCTTACCCAAGGCCCAGGGTACATGCCCAGGTTGCTCACTGCCAGCCTCTGACTGCCTCTGGACCTTCCAGTCTCAGGGGTGACCCATCCTCGCTCCCTTCAAAGTACTCACAGCCACTCTTCATCACTTGCTAGCTAAAATGCCTTGTCTTGCAGCAGTCCGTCTTTACCCCCAGTTGGCTTTTGGGATTTTGTAAGCGGTCCTGCCCACTGTCTCTCAGCTGACTCTCCCCCCAAAGTTCTGTCTCAGGTCTCTGCTGGCAGCCAGATCTGGCATCTGAGTCTGGCACCCAGAACCTCTGAGTCAGAGTGCTGGAGTATCAACACCCCCAGGAACAGGCTGCACCTCCAGAGTAGGGGCATGGTGGGGAGGAGGGGGAGATGTGGAGGCTGGTCCTGAGTGCGCTGCCCCCTGAGGTCACCAGCAGGTGGGGTTCATACATCCAGGGAACTTGCTCACTGATGAAGCCAGTTTGGGTGCCTTGCCTTGCCTGTCCCTGCCAGGCACCACCTTCTAGATAAATGACTTGTTCTTGAATCTTTATCTCTGAGTCTACTTCTGGGGAATCCAGGCCGGGACAATATTTACAAGGCACAAAGCAAATGCTCAGTAAGTAGTAGCTGTTGTTGTTCTTTCCTCCTCCACCTCCCATCTGCCCTGAGCGGTCTTAGGCCTCTGTTCAGAGTGTGCAGATCTAAATCTCGAGTTGTGACTGTTTGCGGGGGAGGTACTAGTTCCCACCACTGCTCTCCCAGCAGGTCACAGTCCCTCCTGCTTCCCGGTGAACCTGGGTGGAGAATACGGAGGGGGGTCAGGCCCCTGGCTCAGACCGTTGTTTGTGGCAAAGCGGGCTGGCTGGGGCTGGATTTTGCCTGAGGAGCTTCAGGGTACCAAATTCTTGGGACACCAATGTGCTTAAACTCTCTGAGGTCCTTGGTGTCACAGAAACCAGCACAAGCAAGACGTGTGCAAGACGTCACGCCAGGCACGGTTTTCAAGCCAGGATGTGAGCCAGGCTGATTCACCTGCAACCTGTGGTGTGCGCAGTCTGCTGGGTCGGGTCATGGCAGTGGGATGGCCCAGGGTTGGAGGCCAACATCTGGCACCTTCCAGCTGTGGTGTCACCTTACTTCCTCATCATGAAGTGGGACAATCACAGAACCGGCCTCAAAGGTGAGTTGTATGTGCATATGTTACTCATGGGTATACATTTATTAGAATTTGCATATAATATAGGTGCTGTAAGGAAAATATAGCACCTATATTTTATATAGGTTCTTAGAGGGGTGTCTGGCTCATAGTAAGGACTCGATGGATATAACCACTCATTTCATTAGAAGAGCGCCAGGCTGGCTTTCACTGTACACTCTTGTACATTTACAAGTTAGCACCACTGGTACCTATTATTACCCATATAAAGAGAACAACTTACTTTAAAAGTAAACATAAAAATAAAATAAATTTTTAAGAATAACCACATCTTGGTTATAGAATCAAAACGTAGCTTTGATGGGTAATTTATGTGTCCACCTAACTAGAGCCCGGATATTTGGGCAAATATTTTTCTGGATATTTCTAAGAGGGGGTTTTTGGATGAGACTGTCATTTTAACAGGTCAAATAAAGCAGATTGCCCTCTGTAATGTGCGTGGGCCTCGTCCAGTCAGTTGAAGGCCTGAACAGAACAGAAAGACTGACTTTGAGCTGAGTATGACAGAATTCTTCACCAGGCTGACTCTAGGCTTCACCTGCAATCTTCTCCAGTCTGCCAGTTCATCCAGCAGGTTGGTCAGGGCAGCTTCCATAATTGCAAAGACCCATTCCTTCTGAGCCCTCTCACTCCACAGCCACATGTTTATATATCTATTATATAGATAGTCTATAGATAGCCTAACATATACATATAGTCTAACATAGACTATACATACACTAATGTGTATATTTTATATATGTGACTATGATACATTTGCTAAAGGCTAGTACAGGCCTTGGCGAGGAGGGTAAGGAAGCCAGGACTCCTCCATCATCACATCCCATGGAGAGTGGCCCAAGATGGGCCCAACTCTGCTCAGGGCCCCCCAGAACACTTACTTGAGCATGTCTTCTCCTGGTCTGAGAACACAGCCGGTAGCTGGGGACTCAAATTTGGCTCAGGTTTACTGGGAATGAAGACCTCAGCATTGTCCTTCCGCTTAGCAGACAAATTCCTTTCCTTTTTACTACCTGTAGGAAAACCATTGTTTAGATGTCAAACACTGAGCGCAAGCAGAGGCGGGACATTTACTCAGGCATCGGCTCACTCATTCATTTGACAAACGTTTACTGAGCCCCCACTCTGCCAGGCGCTGAACTAGTTGAGGATTGGAAGCATGCATCACGTGGCCAATGAGTCAAGTTAGCTGAGGTGGCTGTGTTCCAAGCACCACATTTTGGTGAATAAGTGAAATATTCTAGAACATACATTTTTTCAAATGTGAACATTTTTACACTGGGACAGAACTCATAAGTAATGGGGTTTAGGGTTAATTGGCACTTTAATAAGGACTCAATACACATTGGCAATTATTACTATATGTGTATTAATTATTATTCTTTACAGGCTGATTGTCTAGCTTCTCTGCCAGAATGTGAGCGCCACAGGAGACAGGACTGGGTCTGCCTGTCCCTGCACAGGGCCTGGGGCATGATGTACACCCAGTGAACGAATGATTTAGTCAACAGTCCAGAACCAGGCATAACTTTTCAGGTTTCTACTGATTGTTCCTGAGTAAATACTCAGGATCAGTTTAGGACTCCAATCCCATGCAGGGGTCTAGAGAGACCTAACAACAGGCCCTGCTGGTGGGAGTCTGTCTCCTGCTGGGCTGGAGAAGTGGACAGGGGCCGTGGATGAAAGGGAGCAGAAGCAAGTGGCAGCAGGAGGCAGAGGCCACCCCGCTGCCCGGGTAGCCCCTGCCTGGGGCTGACACCACCCTGGCTAGTATGGGCCTGCTGAGCAATCTAATTGTTAAAAATGTAAAATGTCAAGAAAGTGACATTCTTGCTTTGCGATGTATGCTTTGGCATCAGTCACTCTCAAACTATGCCCCTGCCTGGCATCCAACTGTTCTCCTTCTGAGGCCTGGTGCTTCCCATCGTAAGTGACTATCATGGTCCCCAACTCCCGCCCAGCTCTTTCCTCCCTCCCCGCCAGTGGCTCCACTCTGCTCCTGGGTGTGAAGACCCCACCTGAGACGACACCAAGACAAAGGCAGGCAGAGGCTGGAGGAAGGGAGCGCAGGGCAAGTCAAGGGAAGGGGCATGGGGTGGGAAGAGGAAGGCAGAGAAGGGGAGGAGAGACATGAGTCCTGCTACAGCCTTGGACTTCTCGGTTACACCAGCTGTAAATGGTCCCTCTGGCGTAGGTCAGCTGGCATAAGCCAGTGGGCATGTGACATGCTAGACTCCCCACGGTGCCTGGGACAGGCCACAGCTAGTGTCGGGCACTCACCAGCTGAATCTCGGGGGCATGTGGAGGCCTTCGGGAGCCTTTGCCTCTTACAGTCAGCAGAGACCTGAGCAAAGCACTTCCCCAGTTTGTGAGACAGTCCCCTCTACCCAAAGCTGAGGTCAAAGCGCCACTGAAGGTCATGCGCTACAATCTGATGTAGACACCGAAGGCAAAGAAACACGGCGGAGCTTACTTTTTGAAGCGGGGTTGAATTCCAGCATCACGAGGGTGTCCAGCCCCCGGGGAGGGTGTCCTGTCTCTTGGTTCTCGGGAACCCTCTTCTGCACCGAGTCCCCACTGGAAATAGGGGGCTCCTCGCTGGGATGGCCCACCAGCACCTGCTCCTCGGGCTCGGGCTCCGAGAGGACATCTTCTTCAATGGAGTCAGACTCGTCGCTGGAACTGGCCTTTTGTTTCTGTTGCAGATTTACACTCAGCTCTAAGCTTTTTCTCAGTTCCTGTCAAACAGAGACGAAAAAGAAAATGTGGTACTTTGAGAAAAATCATTTGAAAATAGATCATTAGAACCAAGGAACTACTCCCACCAAACAAACATTTGCCAAAATCATCTCCTTCCAATCACTTTGAAGATGAGCGAACAACGAGACAAACAAGCACAACTCTGGACAGAGCAGCATGACAGTATTAACCGATGTGCACAAGCCACAAAGAATGTGCATGCATGTGCGTGCGTGCGTGTGTGTGTGTGTGTGTGTGTGTTTGTGAGTGATTTCAATTTCAATTCCACTTTTCATCACCAACCCTGATGTGACTACAGGGCTGGAACTTTCAGTGCCACACCCCCCACCTCGACCTCCAGGGACCATCGCGGAGCAATGCCCCAACTCCAGCCAGGAGTCCTATAACTCAAGCTGACTCTGACAAGCTACCCGCAGGCAGCACCAGATTCCACAGGAAGCCTCAGTCCCCCAAGGCTGGCCCCCTACTTCAATGCCAATCGCAAGCCCTCACCTGTGCGTCTAACCGACAGGCTATAAATCAAAGGTTTCTACGAACCCCTCCTTGAGTTCAATTAATTTGCTAGAGCAGCTCACAGCACCCTGGGAATCTGTTTACTCACTGGCATGCCGATTTATTATAAAGAATATTAAGGGATATGAATCAACATCCAGATGAAGCAATACATGGGCAGGGGGTAGTATCCCTCTAGTGAGCTTCTGTTGCTATAGAGTTTAGGGTCTGGTGCAGGGACATTTGGATGCCTCTGGTTCACCAACATTTGGAATCCATTTTTTTGGGAGGGTTTAGAGTAAGTACATACTCACCGCTGGCATTTAAAAAAATAGCAGCAAAGCCTTCTAATTGAGTGTACTGAGATGATCCAGGCAGCCTTCTGAGGCCTACAAAGTCTGATGGTAGTGGCCATTTGGAGGGTCAACAGATTTACTGCCCCTCCAAGGGAAACAGGAGTTCCTGCCTGGCCTGATGTTTAGCAGCAATTTCAGTAACTGTGAAACTAGCAACCCTTTGCAGTGAAATATTGTCCTGTTTACAAAACATTTTCAATCTCCCCTCTCATTACCGCATCACAACAACCCTGCAGGATGGCTGGGGTAGGCCCCGTGATAACATGAACTCTGTTACAACACGACAGGCTATAGGTTCCTATGCTCGGTCCAACCCCCACTCTCAAATGGGATCAGCTTCAGTGCTTATATTCTGTGGAGAGGGAGGCAAGGCCAGGTGAGAAAGCAGGATGCAAATCCCCTTCTGCATACCCAGTGCTCTTGCCCTCTCTCTGTGGCAGGAAGGCATATAATGGCTGCTTCCTAGGAGATTCCCAAGTAGGAGACAGCTGTTGCTGTTTGGGAATTCTCAACCAATCCCAAGGTCCAGAATCATCCCTGCACATGACTAAAACAGAGTGGACACTGACCACTGTCAGTTCCAGGAAGGAAATGGACAGGGCACTAGGGTTGTAGAGCCCATGGTCAGTTGAGCAGACTCCCTCCAGCTTCCTCACTACCTTTACAGTGCTGCAACTCCATATTTTAAGTGACTAAATTTTTGGAGTCCCCCCCAAACTAAGGAACTGAGGCCTACCCTAGGGCCTTGTCTGACTTGTCACAGTGATTAAGTAGCAGAGTTATGGCTTGCACGCTCAGCTGCTGCTCCTGCTCCTTCTAGGTTATCCAAGTGTAAAGGGAAGCTCTTGCATTCTGCTGTGGCCAGTCAATGGGGAAGACCATGTGGGGATTACCATGGTTAATCTAGCCACGCCTGTGGGCCTACTCAGGGGGCTGTGTTCAGGCCGAGGTAAAAAAGGGGAGCAAGACAGGCCAACCTCAGACAACCAATGCAGATAGAAAATCAATAGGGCCATTCCAGATGTGGCCAGGGCTGTGAAGGACAGAACCTGTCTGGATGATGGGGCAGAGAGGGTCCCTGTTGGAAGCTGGTCAGGGAAGCTAGGTGATAAAGAATTGTCCAGTGCATATCAGGCAGGAAGAAGAGTGCAGGCAAAGGCCAGGAGGCAGCCGGGCCTGGAGAGGGCAGGGAGCAGGAAGGTCACATGGGACAGGGCTCTGTAGGTCTTGGATTTCGTGTTTTGAACAATGACAGGCCACAGAGTTAATGCTGAGCAGAGACACAGCATTAACTGACTTCTGCTTTGAAGATGGCTATAGCTGTTGGATGCCAAGTGGATTTTGAGAGGTGGCACCAGGGTGGAAACAGGATGCACAGCTGCAGCTGCAGAGAAGCAGGTGAGCAATGAAGGTGGCAGCAGAGATGGGGATGGGAGATGCCTTGAGATGTGTTTGGGAGGCAGAGATGCCAGAAATGACTGACTAGAAATTAACAATGTTAAACAATATGCATACCCTTTGACCCATCTCCTCTAGGAAATATACTTCAGCCTCAAGTATATAAAGATCGTCAAGACATCATTTATAATAAAGAATGATTCAACTGTTCCCCAATAAGAGATGGGCCAGGTTGCTGAGAGAGCAGGTGTCAGGCGGCCCTGGCAGAAAGTGAGGAAGATCGCGCACACGTACCTGGAAGGACCTCCAGATACATGTGCAGGTAAAAAGAAACATGTTGGAAAATGTGCCCACCATATGAAGCCAATTTTAAAAATAATGTTTCTATGCCCTCATGTCCATGATTGTGCAGAAGTGTAGATAAACAGCCCGGGGTTCCCAAACTATTAACAATGTTCCCCTGCAGGCAACATAATGGGGATTCTTTTCTGCCTTAATTTTTTACTATAAACATATTTCCAATTTTGTCATTAGAAACAGTGATATATTTACATTTATGTTTAAATCCTGTCTCTCATTCCCTCAAATAAGTGAAATCAGCGGGGGTAGGGACAGTGGTGTGGAGGACCCTGGGGAGCCAGTTGTCCAAAAATCACTACCTCCAGTGATATTAAAAATCACTGTTGGGCCTCCCCTAGTGGCGCAGCAGTTGAGTGCTGCGCTGCGAAGGTGCCCACAGCTTCTGCAGCACCGGTTCGATCCCTGGCTGCTGGTGAGGGTCCCACATGGCGCGCAGACCTCTCCTGCCATGCCCACTGCTCCCCTCAGCAGTGTATTTCGTCACTCTGCCTGTTCTACTCTCCGCTCTGGCTCTGGTGAATTCTCTCACCCTCCCGCACTTCTGACTGTACCCAGTGCTTGTATAAATAAATAAATAAATCTTTAAAAAAAAAGTCACTGTTAAGGGCCTCCCTGGTGGTGCACTGGGTTGAGCACAGCGCTGTGAAGCTGTCTGCAGCCTCTGCAGTGCGGTTCAATTCCCAGCTGGCCAGGGAGATACCCACATGGCACAGCAGACCTCTCTCTCCTGTCTTGCCCACTGCTCCCCTCAGCAGTGTATTTCAGTCAGTCTGCCTGTTCTGTTCCCCACTGTTTCTGGTGAACGCTTCCATGCCTCTGGCCTGTACCCCAGTTCTTGTATAAACAAATAAATCTTTTTTAAAAAATCACTGTTAATTTCTAAGCCCTGCAACATATCTTGTCCCCAAAAGAGTGACTCAGAAAGCAGCAAACAGCAGCACTGGCCTCTGGAAGATAATGGAGTGTGTCTATCTAACTTAGTGTTTCCAGTCAAGTGGGAAGATTTACAAACTACAGGCCAAGGAGCTCAACAGGAAGAAACTTGGGGACTCTAGACCCATGAGCCCCTCTTGGAAATAAGCTCCCAGATGACAAAATCCAAACAATGAAAAGTGAAGTCAACATAAAGAGCGCAGACTGGGGTTGTATGAAAGGTCTAATGGTGAACGCCGAAGCCACTTAGAGATTGAGTCAATTCTAGACCCTTGTGCACATCGTTATGGGCCAAAATGGAATGTTTCAGCCCCGAGCTGGGTTAACAAAAACAAGGAGGGCAGGCAGTGTGGACACACCCTGGGCCTCGTGTTCCAGAGCAGGCAGTCAGTTCAGATCCATCTCAAATGGAAACAGAAATGACCACTCTGGCCTCTCCATATTTTTTCATATCTATTTAACTGATGAGGTATTCTTAAGAAATGATATTTCTCATGACAAAGGAAATTGAATTTCAATAATTTCCCCGTTTCGATTTGATTTCTTTTCATGCTGTCGAGTTAATATAAATTTAAATGCCATGGCCACGTTTAGAAAATATGTATGCCTTGCTGGTATCTCCTGCACAAAAGAAAAGAACACATTGTCTACACTGGGTGCACAAGCATCAGGAACTGAGGCCCTTCTAATGAGCTGTTTCTAATGCCCATGTGACCCCAAACCATCTGTTCCAGGGGCAACGTGATGATGAACTGAGTAACAATTCCCTCTGGAGAAAGCAGTTCAAAACCTTTCCATCTGGAAAGATGAGGGTCTTGGGTTGGTGGCTTTGAAAGTCAACCTGTGGCTATTTCAAAGGGATACCATGCTTGGGGGAGCTACCAGTTGCTTTGAAGCTGTCATCCAGAAATTTCTTAGAAATCTTTGCTTTGCTTTAAAACCTTGTTAGATGCAATTTTAATGTTCAGTGTTTAAAATGTTCATTTCAAGCCCTTTTAGCTGAGAGCCCTCTGCTTGGAGGCGGGGCTGTAGGTAGAGAGGGGACCGGGGGCAGCACATGATCTCCCAGCTGGAGAACCAAGAAGGGAGTGGAGGGAGGAAGGGATGGGCTCCAGAGTACCAACTACCAGGCAACCAGGGTTTGATGGTCAGAGGGTTAGTGTTGTCCATGCCTGATCTGCCTCTTTCTGGAACTAGGAAAAGCACCAGAGGACATACAGTATGAAATACTTGCAATAACAGTAACAAGAGCTGTGGTCGCGGCAGCAGCAATTTCCAGTTGACAAGCCTCGTCAGATAGCAAGCACCAGGCTGTCCACCCTAGGCACCATGTCTCATGGCATCCCCAGTGGAGAGCCTTACTGTATAGACCCAGGGCACTGGTGTACCAGCCCAAGCTGAACGGATGATTGATCCAAAGTCCAGGCTCTTCGCCACAT